CTAAGTGATTTAATTGCTTTCATTCATTTGCGTGTAATGCTAACCCGGGTCCTCGGGTAATTATCAATAAAAGTCATTACACACTTTTTCAAATAAAGTCATTTATATTTGCGCGTGTCGACACTATCTTATGACTAGTCACCGAGATGGACACCCTCGATAGGGCCATCCTCGACTTGAGCCGTGTATTCAACATCCGGACCCCTAAGCCGAGGACTTCCCCTCGCACCCGCCGTAGAAGTGCGGTTTCAGTAGATCGAGGAATCCGTATCCGTTTCCTTGATGAAGCCGCGTAATTAACAACCGGCTAAACAAGGCACCATATAAACATTCCCGAGTACAAATAACTGACGCTAACACAGCTCAGCCCATGTACAACTTCCTCGCGCCAAGTGTGGGATATATAAAAAAAAAAAAAAGAGAGAGAGAGAGAGACATACATGACATCTGCCTAAATCCGGAGGTCCTTCCCCTTAGGGTTAAAACGAAAAGGCTTAATAAGGCCGGACCATCCCATCGACCTAAGCTTATGGACACAATGCCCGAGTTTATCCTTCAAATCTAGAATCTCCCAGTCTTGATCGTCGATTCTAAGAAGATATTCCTCCGCAGCAGCTCGCTCCCGAGCTTCGTCCTCCGGATTGAGGTCGTCGAGAATTGGCAAAGAAATCTCGTTGTCCACCAGTATATTCTGCAGAATGGCAGCTTGGTTTGAATAGAACTCCACCTCCTTGGTTTTTTTCTTCAGGAGGTCGATGGCAGCGATAAAACGTTCAGTGCGGATCTTTATTTGCGACTCGACCAGGGCAAGTGTGTCGATCTTCTCGAGGAACCATGGAGAAATAACGATCTTCTCGTGCCTCCTCAATTGAGAGTTTTCCGACTTCAGCTTTTCTATCTCCTCGTAAATGTTAGCCTCGAGGGATAACGAAGCATGGAAGTCCAAGTCGTATTGGTGAAGCCGGCGCTTCCACTCTTCCTCTTGCTGCCTGAAGCGCTGTACCAAGTGGGAATGCGCCCGTAGATTCAGCGCGTTAAAAGTATCTGAAAGTTTTTTCTTGAGAGACTTCACTTTGTCAGTATTATGGACGTCCCCGGATTTCCTCAGAATCGAAGAAATCATCGCATACAAGGGAAACTGAGCAACCTCATCTTCCTCGAGAATCAGTAGATGTAAATGATGAACAAATTACGAATTCTGGCATAAGCGACAAAAATATTAAAGGTAAGCCAACCTTAATCCGCAAAAGGGTTCAAAGATCCATACAAATTCTCTAAGGTCTACAACCTTAGCCACAAAAATCCTATTACAAAGAGAAGACTCATACTTCCTTCTGGCCCTGCGGCTGTGCTGGCTGGCTCTCGTTGGTTTCCTCGACGGGGGGAGGAGCTGACGTTCCCTCTGGTTCGGGATTGCTTTGTCCGTCGTCCTCGGCTTGCCCCTCCGAGGAATCTTCTTCCCATTCCACCTCGACACCGATGAAGTCTGGGGCCAACTTCGGCACGCGCACCTCCTCCCCGGCGTCATCGGGGAGCACCATGAGAACCTCCCCCTCGAAGGATGAGATCTCTGTCGAGGATTTCATCTCAGGAACAGCGCCACACAGTGGCCAAAATAGAGGAAGTTGACCGTTAGAAAGTTGTTGCAACTCTTTCTTGAGGGCCTCATGAAGTGTCTTCTTGGGATGCGGCCTTATAAATTGCTGAAGCCATCCAACATTGATGGTCCTTCCGCTCTCCATTCTTTCAAGGGCAGCCACCGCTACGCCATGTCCCCCCAGAACCTTGGCCTCATTACTAATGCCCACCAGAATGCTTGCCAGCCCATCCGTGGACATCATCCTTGCCCAAAAATTTGTTATCCAGGCCAGTAACTCAGATCGGGGAACATGAGTTTCCCTGTACTCGGACAACTTGGCCTCGAGCTCCTTATACATGGCCCGAACACTGGCCAACTCTTGTTCCCTAGCAAGTCTCAGCGCCTCCTCACCCTTCCTCGAGGCTTCGCTTAACTGCCTCTCTTGTCCGAGAACTCCTCTCTCAGCCTGCAGGCTAGCAATATCCTGCTTCAATGCCTTCTCACGCATGAGAATGCTAGCCATGGCAGTAGTTAGCTGTAACAGACACACAATGTCAACAGGGGCATTACAAGGTTTCTGAAAAGGCATAATTCATGACGGGGAGAATATTACCATCTTCAGCGACTCTTCCTCTGTCAAAGTCGCCGCTACCTCCTCGATGATGGGGCACTCGATTCTGTTGTCCCCGAAATGATATATGGCCGCAGCAGCAGTGTATGTCGACGACCCGTCGGTGTCCTCGACGTTTTTCTTTTCCAGAGAGGCCTCGAGCGGCCTGAACCACTCCGGATGCCGCTCCGTCACCGGACCCGCCTCGGGTACCTGGACCTCGGGCACGGGGATCTCCACCTCCTCGATAATGGGAGGAACAGCCATCGATGGATCTACAACGTCATCCTCCACCTCGATCGGGATCTGCTCCTCGAACGGCTTCTCTGCTCCCTCGAGGATGGGAGTCTTCTTCTTCTTGGTCTTGGCACCCGCATCGGACGCCTTCACAAGCCTTCTCAGCTTCCTCTTCTTGGTGACCTTGTTAGACGATCCCTCGTCATCTGAATTTTTAATTTCAAAAATCTTGGCATCACCAAACAACCCAACGGTATCTTTGCTCGATGACATGACCTAAAAACAAAAACAAAGCACATAACAAGTCAGTACCTTTTTTCTTCTCGAGGTGAACCAGAGGAATATATTGTTGCACTTCCGTGTAGCCCAGGATGTCCTCGACGGATTCCAAGGAATCAATGTCAACCCTATTCCTCTCGATCCTGGCCTTATCGTGTTTGGACTAGGCATCTGCCACACTGCCCATTTCATGAGCTTCCCGATAGTCCCAAGCCATACAAAAATCGTCGGGAGCCGAAACAAACAAATAATTCAGCTTCCATGATGGGGCACCATCAAAGAGCTCTATTATGCGTTTTGCCTTCGAGGAAACGTTTGTCTTCACATTATACCAATCCTTATATTTGGTCGAGGGTACACAAACCTTAAAAAAGTACCTCCATACCAACAATCGAGGAGCTACCCTCTTTATTTTGCAAAGCCTCACAAATCCAAGGACGGCTGTGACTAGGTTTGGGGTAAATCGAGCAAGTGAGATCTTATAATACTGCACTATCCTACCAAACAGAGAGTGAAGGGAAAATCTTAGTCCGAGGAACATCGACCTCTCGTACACAGTGATTTTCCCCTCTGGTGGAGTATTAGCCCTCTCAGTACCTATGGGAGCTCGATATTCTAGATCTATGGGAAAGCTATATTTTTCGGCAAGGGAATCAGCCTTTTCAACAGAGTTTATGGTTGATGCAAAGTCGGAAACTGTTTGCGACGCCATATCTATCCTAGTACATGCAAATCTAATAGGGTTCAGATAAAGTAAAATATATACACTAATATACAGTGTTGGGAATGCTCGAAAGTTAGAGGATTTACTTATGAGATAACGCTTCCTAGGTGAAGTCTGTCGGACGGATTTTCAGACCCTGTTTGACGGCAGCGTTCGGTTGACAAATAAATCTGGTGCGCCGGAATAGAGAATGTGGAGCTTTCTGGGTGCAAGTTTGACAAAAGACATAAATGGCTAAAGTTCTTAGCCTTTCCCCCGGTTAACAAATAAGAGGCGCCTTTTCTCCCATAACCCGACACCGTAGCTGAAATCCAAGACACAATCATAATTGCTCAGCCGCCGTTTGGGAATCGTGCGCGTTAATGGGGCATAATTTCCGTTTGGGCGGGATTTAAAAATCGGGTCACCTTCCCGGGTCGGACCCTCACCCACGGATAGTTGCACTTGGATTGGGCTGAGACTTATTTATTTCATATGGGCCGGGCCAGGTCAGTTTTATTTAAGTATCAAGTCTTATTTATTTTGCATATTTAACACTTGACAGGGGCACTTGACGAGTCCAGATCCATCACCTCCAATGGGCCGGCCCACTACTCGGCTTTAGGGTTAAACCGCCCGGGATATGGCGGTGTATTATTACTAACCCTAGTAATAATCGGATGTCTCCCAGGTCTATAAATAGAAACCTTTATTCCACACTAAAAGTACGCAATCTTGACTATCAAATCAATACAGACATAACCCTATTTTCTGACTTAAGCTTCGGAGTGTCTACCCTCGGGAGACGCCCGAGGCTCTATTTTGCAGGAAACCCTAGTTGGAGTTTCACTCTACATCAGTGGTACAATTCCAGGTATGGTCAAGCTGTGCATGAACAGTTTCTTAAGCACAAATCCTAACATTCATTCAACCCCAAAGTCTTATCTACGACTCCATTTGTTGTGTCGGGAATCTTAGCGGATGTCAACTTTATGAACCCAAAATTAGTACGCGTTTTTCGCTTGCCTTGCTTTTGCAACCGTTGGTGCCATCCCTCATGTACCATTCGCTTCCGATTTTAGGAACAGGCACTAAAATGATCGGTACATTGCAATTTTTTTCACATATCTTTCATATATTTTCTATCAGAGTTCATCCGAGTAGCCATTGACGATTACTAGCATAAAGAAGCAGTAGACAGTAGTACAGGGACATACATCCTAAGCAGATCCATTCATGACATATGAATTCTGGACACTGAGTTTTTACATGCACCACATACAGTTCCCCAAGTGATGCCTTCGGACCAATTTTTGCATGACGGCTACAAAGCTTAAAGCCTCCTTCAAATAAGCCTACACAAGTTGTGTTTCTATGTCGAAAATGTTTCAACGTCGAGGTTGTCAAGTCAGGGTAGTTGTTTGGTTCATTAAAGAGTCAGAAACAGAATTATAACATATTGCATTGAATGTAAATTGACCTGTTTTGGGCTGTGTATCTCATTACACGTCCTAGCTGAATGACATCGTTAATTCAAAATAACAAACAGCGCAAAAAATAAAGCTCATTACAGCATAGAAATTCCTGTTTACCGAGCTTGAATTATGGTAATTGTCTCATCATCCACAGATGCTCCAAGACTAGCAGATGATGAATATGGATGCTTATGACTTTGGTTCCAAGACCTTTCAATCACAAAAGCAGGTTCTTTAGGGGAGGCTGAAGTGATTGATGTTTCATTACATAACATGGAAAGCACTGTGGACATGGTCGGCCGATCCCCAGCATGTTCTTGAACGCACAGAAGACCAATTTGAATGCATTTTTCAACTTCTTCGGGGTTATATGAATCCCCCATGGCTGGATCTACCAAATCCAGGGCCTTCCCTTCTTTCCATAGCCTCCATACCTGAAGAAATTAACCACCAACATTCAATATACATGTGTCAGTTTTGTGTTATGCCAATTAGCAAACTTTACCATAGAATAAACTGTAAACAGAACTGAAATGAACTTACATATCCAATTAGGCTCACAGTGTTGTCACTCAAAGATCTAAAGCTTTTCTTTCCACTAATGATCTCAACTAACAGCACGCCGAAGCTAAACACATCAGACTTCTCTGAAAAGAGTCCTTCCATTGCATATTCTGGTGACATATAGCCACTGAAAATGGAAACGATAAATTGAGTAAAAACTTGTCTTTCTTTTAAACTTTTGGTTCGAAAGCTAAACTTCATTTTCTAGTGTAATTTACAAAAAATGAAATATGACGACACTTACTATGTTCCCACAACTCTGTGTGTTTTTGCCTCCATCTGGTCTGCTCCAAAAATTCTCGCCATCCCAAAATCAGATATTTTCGGTTCCATATTTGCATCAAGCAAGACATTACTGGCTTTCAAATCCCTGTGGATAATTCTTAATCGTGAATCACGATGAAGGTATACAATTCCCCGAGCAATGCCTATGATTATCTCAAACCGTTTTCTCCAGTCCAGCATTCCTCCCTTTTCTTTATCTGAAAAATGCATATGGAAAAGCAATGTTGGAAATGCATATTGAAAGACACGACTAGTTGCTCGCAAAATAGTAGCCAGGAGAATGAGTGAGGCATACCAAAGATGAAATTGTCGAGTCCTTTATTTGGCAAGTATTCGTACACCAACATTTTCTCCTCTTGTTGGATGCAACATCCTAAAAGCTTAACTAGATTCCTATGTTGAAGCCTAGCAATCAGGGTGGTTTCATTCTTGAATTCCTCTATTCCTTGTCCTGAACTTCTCGACAATCTCTTCACCGCTATTTCTCTGCCATTTTGGAGCTGACCCTGAATCAAGGTTCACATATTAGTAAATTGCTTAAATTTCAGAAAGTCATGCAAATGACATCACTGAAGATGAACCACCAGTTGATTTTTGGAGAAAATAACAATAGACAGTCACTTCGGAAAATAACAATAGACAGACAGTCACTTCGGATGCTGAAGTACATAAACAGTAGATCAACCTTGGAGGAATCACCTTATAAACTGAGCCGAAACCACCTTCTCCGAGTTTGTTAGCAAATGCAAATGAATTAGTTGCTGAAACTATGGTTCTCAGATCAAAGACATATATGTCTCCCTTTTCATCTAACTCATCTTTCCTTGGAGTGACTCCATACGATGAAACCGAATCAATATTAAAACTAGGCAACTTCCTGAGTTTTTGTGCTTGACCTGCATTTGTACATAGAGATGACTAGTCCATCAACTCATCCAGGAGCATACATAATTGGAAGAAAACATAGATTACCAAAATGATTTTCCGAGATTTCAATCTCATCAAAATGTTCTCCTTTTAAAAGTGGTAAGATCAGCTGATGTTATAGTTTAAATTGATTTTGGAACTAGGAACAACAGGCATAAAAATGCATTAACAAGAAATTTTAAAAGAATAGTGTACTGTGTCAATGAGAAATGTGTAAATAAATTAGTTTAACTTTGTTTACCTTTGCGCTTCCTCAATGCTAACCAAATCACGATAACTAATAATAGAACCCCTGCTATGGATGGTACCAGGATGGTTATAATCCTTTTGCCATCCGACCTCTTTGAATTTTTCAGGTATTGAGCTGGAAAATGTAGCAGAACCGATTGTGATTAGTGCAAATATTGGAAGCTTGCGAGGTACTGTGCAGACTAAAACTATCAACTCTTAAATTAAAATGTCATACAATTCAGGAACATGACTACATTGTTGAAAGTGTTGAAAACTTTAATTGAAAGATTTACTGCAGATTAGATTAAGTAGTCTAAACCTGAATAAGATTTCTAGACTACTTTTAGATTTTATTCTATGGTAAGCTACTATAATAGTATGTTTACTGGAATGAATACATATACAAGTTTTTTGACCAGTTATAGAAGTTAGTATACTGTGTGCCTTCTCAAAATCAGTAAAATACCTACTCAGCAAAGACTAACATGGCTTCCACATAAGCACAATCAGTAAGTACTTCACCTGGAATTATGCAATATTGGTCCATATGATTCTCTCAGGTCAGTAAACAAAGTAAACCAGGTTTTTAAGTTCAAATCCTATTCATAACACCGGAGCAACAATTAAATTTCAGAAATTTGTCAGGCATGAACTACCTGACATGATAAACTAAGAAAGAAAATGCCACCTTACCTAATTCAGCAGTTGTAGCTTTGATATAAACATCCTGGCCCTGATTTGAAAACTGTTTCATATCTAACAAGTTGCCGTACCAAGTGATGCAGCCTACTCCACTGCTAATGTTAGCACTTGTATAAGCTGTGCAAGAACAATTTTTCAAGCACAAATCTGCACATTCATTCAATCCCAGACTCTTATTTGCGACTGCATTCATAGTGTCTGGAACCTTCACAGATGGGAATTTTATGAAGCCGAAACCAGAGGAACTGTTTCCACACGTTTGTTCACCGGGCTTACTTGTACACCCATGGAAGCCATTTCTCAAGTACCATTCACTTTTGACTTTAGGCTCATACCCAGGGAGGCATTGACACTCAAATTCACTCAAATTAGAAGAATTACATAGACTGAATCCACCGCAATGGCCATAATTGTCGCATTGATCGTCTTTGGGGATAGTCCAAAACGATTTCCAGTTCTGTTGGCCTTCTTGCCAGGTTAACAACTGCACGTTGCCTGATTCGTTTACTGCTAACCTTGTGAAAACTGTGGGATCACTCAGAACATAGGAAATGCTCACTTCATCATCATTCTCAACATAATCAACAGTGACAATATATGATGTAGTCATCTCAGGTATACCACTGAATTGAATCCCATTCCAAGGCCCTGATCGCCATAACATTTCAGAATTCTTGTAGAAAATCAACTGTGGCATACCACTGACATCCATCTTGAACTCAAAAGTGCCAGTTCCGGGATCATCTCCCGACTTCCAAGACGTCGGGGTCCATTGCAAACCGGAAGTCAGGTTCACTCCATGTTTCATGTGAGGCAGGATAGTATTAGTAGGATAATCAAAGCTCTGCCATGAAACAAAACTTGTGTTTCCTACATCTTCAAACAAAACCAAGTTTGCTGTGTCCATGAGCTGAACAAAATAAGAACTGGCCGTTGACTTGGATGAAACAGTACTCGTTGACCAGAACAGAATGTTGCTTCTCCCATCACGCAACACAAGATCTCCGGAGTTTTCAATGGACAAAACTCCAGTTGTGCCATTGATGGGTTTATCCCTGTTTGCAACCCAAACAACAGTTTGTTCTGAGATTTTGTTGTACCAAATCCCGACATAACGATTCAGGGAATTTCCAGGGCTGAAGAAACCAAAGGCAAAGTTGTTTCCACTTGACACCAAGATATCTCCATCTTTGAAAGATTGGTTTTGGGTGATGGTGTCATTGGAAGTACAATGTTGGAGGAAATTTATGAATAGGAAAGTGATACATAAGTAGTACTTGTATTTCTGTAACATGGTTTCAGAAAAAGTTGCAAAATTTGTGATGCTTTTTTCATCTTAGAACACCTGCTAAATATATTTGAGTAGTTCTTCACTTGAAGAAGATAAAAGAATAAACTAATAATGGATTTGATCTTTTGGCAGTCTTAAAATAATGGGAAAGGAAATTCGCGTCGTGGGGTCATTGGGTGACTCTCAGTGAGACAGTGACTTGGTCTATGGGGTTCTTTTTTTTTTTTTTCATATACCATTGATTGCTGATTTCAAACTCTATAATAATTTATATTATGCAGTCAACACTTCTCATTCCTTGTATTTCCTAAATGATGGGTACACCTTGAAGATGAACCAATCAATTAGTTAGAGGGAGAAATTCTATAATGGAAGACAAAATATTTTATTGATTGATAATCACTGTGCCTATACAATGTGATCTTTATATTGTGCTAATTCGGCATAAGAGACAAGTTGATGTTTTTATAATCCAACATATACAGCAAACTCTGCACTAAAAGTAGTAAGTATTGATATTGTAGTATTGTCATTGACTAAAACTATATGCAATGGGAGGTGGTTAATAGGGAGTGGCTCGTGATTTCGTCTGTGGCTGGAACACGGTGTTATTAGTATCTCTTAATGTTGTAATTAAAGTTCTGAATAGCTTTTTGTATTTGTTCTCAGATTTTGCATTGTATAGGGGGAAAAGGAAAAGAAAAGGAAAACTGAGTATCCACAATACAAGCTGGGAGATCAAACTTCAATATTCTGCAGTACATATGGCATATTTTACAGAAAGTTCAATCTGTCAAATCTCAAAAGATTAGCATCTTTTGGTAAAGGTCAACCCTGACGATTTTTGGCGATTATAAGATGATTTGTTTCACATTCACCATAAGACTTGGTCTTCGAAATTTTTCATTTATTCAATCCAAGCTATTGTTCAGTAATGATTAATTTAAGACAATGAGTTTCATTTCCACTTTAAACACTTGGAACAAAATGATGTAAAGACTTACTATGTGCCGACCACTCTGTGTGTTCTTGCCTCCATTTGGTCTGTTCCAACAATTCTAGCCATTCCAAAATCTGATATTTTTGGTTCCATGTTTCCATCCAGTATGACATTGCTAGATTTTAAATCCCTGTGACTGATCTTAAGCCTTGAATCACAGTGAAGATACACGATCCCCCGAGCAATTCCTAAAGATCATCTCAAAGCGTCTTTTCCAATCCAGTAATGCACTCTTTTCTTTATCTGGAAAAAGTTCTACATTAGAGAAATATGTGAATTTTCTACATAGGTTTTTTGTCTACAACATGGAGAAAGAGACAGTAACAAGTGCAAGTATTCCCTGCAATATGCTACCAGCTGATAAAATCATGTACATCACCTTATGAACTGAACCGAAACCGCCTTCCCCAAGATAATGGTTTTGGGATCATATACCGATAAATCTTGGTTGTCACCTATATCATTGGTTCTTGAAGAGGCTCGGTAGGGTGAAACTGATGCTGGAATAAGGTTAAAACTAAGCAAATTCCTCGATGTAACGTCTTCTACCTGTTCTTACCGAAAATTACAGCATTCCATAAGTCAGTGGGACTAAAAAATGAACCATGAAATGGTCTTCCACTAATATCTTGAAAGTTCCTTTTTTTTTTTATTATCCTTTTCTTTTCTTCAAGAGGAAATAATTGCACAGATTCAATTTTCTTTTGATTTTTCAAAGGAAATAACAGATGAAAAAGTTTGTTTGAAGCTAAAGTGAGCAAAACAGAGCAAAAGCACGGAGCTTTAAACCTTTGCATTTCCGTAGTACCGAACAAATTGCGAAACTCAGTCCCAGAAGAGCTGCTATGGATGATACGAGGATGAATATCCACTTCTTGTGATCTGGGCCCTTCAAATTCTTGTCATATTGAGCTGGAGGAAAAAGAAAAACAAGTCAAGAAGAAAAAAATGTCAAAGTTCCTGAAAGAAATTGGGGGATGGAAATAAAAGAAACAATACAATATGAACCAAAGAATAAAGATGGAAAAAATAAACTTTATTGATGGAATTTGAAATTCAACTACTAAAGGAAATTCACAAAGAATTGAAAATGTTCTAAGCATGTCAAATACTGCCCTTAAGACAATATTTCCCCCCATTAGATTGCAAACATGGTTGAATGGCAATTTGCCTTTAGAATTTAAGAACACAAGAACATGCAATTTGCAACTTATTGAATGTTCTTCAGGATTTTGGAATGCAAAAGTTAAAATGAACTCATGCACTAGTTCACCTATTTATAGGCAACATTTGCAAAAATAAAAAGATACAAAATAAGTACACAACCCTTGGCTTGTAGGAAATAACCACCAAGCATGTGAAGGGTTGCCAACTTAATTTTATCTTTCAATTTTAAATTAATTATTTTATTTTAAAAACTAAAATTTCCAACATTCCCCCACTTAGTTTGTAATATAAAATAATTACACAATCATGAGAATCGCGCTTAAGAGGTGGTGACTTTCGTCTTAAACCATATCGTAGTAAAATTAAGTCACCTAACTAGCTAAGTTATTGGTGGCTCATTGCTTAAACCAATAATTAGTCTAGTATAGACTTAATAGTTCACGCGCAAACACTCATAGCATTCCATGTAATCCACATTACCATTTAGCACTATTATCAGCCATGTGCTCATCCTAGATTCTTGACCATGTACAAGAGATAACCTCAAACTCTTGCTAGAAGCGACACCACTTCTATGGTCAAATAGGTGAAATTTATTCAAATTCATTACTTTATCGTAATTGAATAATCATGAATAATTTCATTAAGAGATTGCTCTCAACCTGTTCACTTAAGAGTAACATAATGCACCAATACTTTGGAATGGTATATACACTGATTTGGTGCCCCAATTACTAAACAGCTTGTTATTACCCTTTATAGGCAACATTTGCAGAAATTGAAGGATAAAATTAAGTTGGCAACCCTTCACATGCTTGGTGGTTATTTCCTACAAGCCAAGGGTTGTGTACTTATTTTGTATCCTTTTATTTCTGCAAATGTTGCCTATAAATAGGTGAACTAGTGCATTAATTCATTTTATTGATACTCAACTTGAACATGTCATTACAAGAGTACCACTTCCCTATAAACACCACATTCTTTGACAAGATTACATTGTCAGATTTAATGACTGACTTCAATCCCTTTTTATTAAGGATGTCGGCTGATACAAGGTTCTTAACAAGACTAGGAACATGAAGTACATTAGTTAGGACTAGTTTCTTTCTCGAGGTGAATTGCAAATGCACTTCTCCTTTGCCTTGAACTTGAGCCCTAACACCATTTGCCATTACAACTTCATGTCCTTCAAGAACAACGTAGTTCTTAAACTGATCCTTGTCGTTGCCCACGTGAATTCCAGCCCCAGAATCATACCACCAATCCTTGGAAGGAAGTGGTGTTGCCATGTTCAACTCGGTCACGGTTCCAAGCGAGATAACCGCCACAACCGGTGCACTATATTCAACAAGATTTGCACTTGGGATGTTATTTCCCTTCTGCTTCTTGTTAGACTTGCAATCAGCCTTAAAATGACCCTTTACACCCCAGTTGAAATATTTTTTATCCTTTTTCTTGTCATTAGAATTTTCATGTTTCTTCCTCTTATTTTTGTTAGCCCAATTTTCAGTCACAAAATTCACTTTATTAGAATTTTCTCCAATTTCCAAGTTTTGAAGAAGTCTTGCCCCTTCTTCAATTCTCAAGTATTTCAAAACATTAGACACAGTCAAATTCTCAGAAGTGTGTAACAGTTTCTTTTGATAATCGTTCTAAGTATGAGGCAATTTGGCAATAATTGCCCCAACTTGCAAAGATTCTAAGTTTTCAATACCAATGTCTTTTAGTTTTGATACTATAACTTGGAGATTGTGAATTTGATCCATAAGAGGAGAATTAGCAAGTAACTTAAATTCAAAGTAGTTTTTAATGAGAAACTTATCTGCCCCTTGTTTCTGATTTGCATACTCCCTTTCAATGGTGGCCCAAATCTCTCTTGGGTTTTTCACATTTGAGAAGAGATCATAAACCGAATCTGACATGTTGTTGAGGATGTAACCACGACAAATGATCTCATCTTCCTCACGTTGTGCATGCTTCTTCTTGATTGCATCAGACTCTCCTTCTGCAGGCGGTGTGATCTCCTCCAAATTGGGGCTTAGAACATAAGCCACTTTCAAGGCCGTGAGAAAGAACATTAACTTGTCCTTCCAACGGTTAAAGTCAGTACCAGATCCATCAAGACGATCCAACTTAACAAAGTCTTGGTTCATCACTTTCATGGCAGACTCTTGTGTTGATTTCATGATAAATATTGTCTTAAGATTGAAAGAAATCGAGGGATGGAAACAAAAGAAACAACAAAATATGAACCAAAGAACAAAGATGGAGAAAATAAACTTTATTGATTGAATCTGAAATTCAACAACTAAAGGAAATTCAAAAAGAATTGAAAGTGTTCTAAGCGCGTCAAACACTGCCGTTAAGACAATATTTGCCCCCACTAGATTGCAAACAGGGTTAAATGGCAATTTGCCTCTAGGACTTAAGAACACAAGAACATGCAATTTGCAACTTATTGAATGTTCTTCAGGATTTTGGAATGCAAAAGTTAAAATAAACTCATGCACTAGTTCACCAATTTATAGACAACATTTGCAGAAATAAAAGGATACAAAATAAGTACACAACCCTTGGCTTGTAGGAAATAACCACCAAGCATGTGAAGGGTTGCCAACTTAATTTTATCCTTCAATTTTAAATTAATTATTTTATTTTACAAACTAAAGTTTCCAACAGTTCCAAGTTTAGCTAACTCGTAGATTAAAAAATAAAAACATGTCCTATTCTTTAAGTCTCCTAAATCACTCTTTGAACTAAAAGAAAATTTCAAAGGGTTGATCCACATCTGTTTTTGGTTTTTTTTTCCATCTTTTTTCAGTTTCTTTGTTGTTTT